CTCAGTCCTGGGGACACTGGCCCTCTTCCTGCTGGAACTCACGAGGCACACGGCTGCAATGTGTGTGGGCTCTGGGTTCTCAGGCACTGTCAGTGGCAGGTCGGGGAGTGGGGTGCCTACACACTGTCCAGCAGGTGCCCGTGACAAAACTTAACACCCATTAACTAATGACCTTCCTACACACGTGTGAATATGCTCAGAAAGTGAGGCGCACACTGAGACACACACACTACACACAATCACTGAGACACACGCACACAGTGAGATAGGCTCACACCACACACACACACACACACTCACACACACACACCACAGCTGCACCAGCAGAAGCATCTCAGCAGAACGTGGCCATGCAGGGCCTGTGCCTGCTGCTGAAGGTGATGAGGTCCCAGCCTGCAAGTCAAGTACAAACCTTCCCACATGCGAGGAAGGAGAGACCTGACCTGGCGTGAATTCCACATATTCACCTGAAAAACAGACACCCCAAGCAAGTTGGCTTTAACCGCACTGACTCTGGCAAGCTGAACACGGGTGGGCGTCCGAGTCAGGTGTCTGAAGCACCTGGAGGTCCTGGGACAAGGGCAGCATTCTCCTGGGGACTTCTCTCAGGACAACCAAGACAGGACATGCCCAGGACAGCTGCAGCCCCCCAGGAGAGCATGGGAGGTGCATGAGGGAGCTATGGGGCCAGGGGCTGGGGCCACAGCTGCAAGGGTGCTCGGGGAGCCCAGCACAGTGAGGCTACTTGGATGCGTGGGTCATGGGGGGCACTGCCCCATGGTTTCCTATGCAGCTATTTGTTGGAATCTGGCTGCTAAACAGGGAACCATCTATACCCTGTGTCTGAGGGATGCCAAGGACTACTTCCTTCCCAGGCATTCCTTGTTCTCCTCCTGAAGGTCACTGTCATCTCCCATTTAATGAAGCTCTCCTGGGCCAGTGACTTCCAGATGATGACTATGGGGGCACAATTTCTACTTGCAGGGAAGTGGAGAGAAAGGGCCACCCCACCCTGCAACAGAATTGACTCCTGACTCAATCCCATTCTCCTCCAAGTGCCATCATGGGGAACTGCAATGAGTGCGCGTGACTCCGTGATGACTGTGTATGACTCCATGGTGAGTGTGTGTGACTCTGTGATGACTGTGTGTGACTCCATGGTGAGTGTGTGTGACTCCGTGATGACTGTGTGTGACTCCATGGTGAATGTGTGTGACTCTGTGATGACTGTGTGTGACTCCATGGTGAGTGTGTGTGACTCTGTGATGACTGTGTGTGACTCCATGGTGAGTGTATGTGACTCCGTGATGACTGTGTGTGACTCCATGGTGAATGTGTGTGACTCTGTGATGACTGTGTGTGACTCCATGGTGAGTGTATGTGACTCCGTGATGACTGTGTGTGACTCCATGGTGAGTGCACGTGGCTCTGGGATGACTGTGTGTTGCTCTGTGATGACTGCACATGACTGTGATGAGTGTGTGTCTCTGTGATGAGTGCACGTGACTCTGTGATGACTGTGTGACTCCTTGATGACTGTGTGACTCCATGGTGAGGGCACGTGGCTCTGGGATGACTGCATGTGGCTCTGTGACGACTGCACATGACTGTGATGAGTGTGTGTCTCTGTGATGAGTACACGTGACTCCGTGATGACTGTGTGTGACTTCATGGTGAGTGCATGTGACTCCGTGATGATTGCATGACTCTGTGATGACTGCGTGTAGCTCTGTGATGACTGAATGTGGCTCTGTGATGACTGTGCATGACACTGTGATGGCTGCACGTGACGTGCTGGTTGGTGGGTTTCCCTAGGGGAAGGAGTGGCAGGACCTCCTGGGGATGGATCACGGAGAGGCCAATTCCATGGATGGATGGATGAATGCTGGAGGCTTCACCTGCTTCCAAAGGGACTGCAGGCAGTTCAGGTATAAATTCTTAGCTTCATAAAGACCAAGGCTGAGAAACAAATAATCCAGGGGAAGACAGGCAGAAAAATGGTGTCGTGTATTTGGTAATTTACTGTAATCTGGCACATTCTGGGTGAGAGAAGCTAAGCAGGTGAGCACAAAATCTGAGAGTGAGATTCCTGGCTCAGGACAAGAGAAATGTGTGATGCAGAAAGTGACTATCTGGTGGCAGGAACCACGGGGCTCACCGGGAACCACGGGGCCCAAACCATGGGGCTCCCCATGCAGGAACACCAACTTCTCCCCTGGCCTCGAGCCCCAGGATGCTTTCAGCTGTGTCCCAGCTGAGAGACTTGGAGGAGTCTGCTCAGCAGCTTTGGGTGAGTTTTACCAACAAGTTTCTTACCTTGCATCCCTCATGAAAACCTGGGATGGAAGATCATAGGAGGGTCCTGTACGGCCGACTGAAAGCTCACCCCAAAATGCAATGAGCACTGCCCTGCAGTGAGCCAGGACACGATTCCAGAATATGGGCCTCCATGGCAGCTGTGCTCAAGTGGCCATCTGACCAAGTCGGAGCCAAGTCTCAGGTGAGTGCCGAAAGGCCCCGTATGAACAGGCGACAGCCGGAAAGACAGGCTGTCAGGGCAGATGGAGCCGGGAGACCCGGGGTGGGGGGGGCGGGCGGGGGCTTGCTGCGGCAACATGGACCCCACAGGTCAGATCCACGGGCTCAGGGTCTGTGTTTCACAGCCAGAGGATAATGAGCTGAGTCATTCACTAAACTGACGCTCAGAACTCTTACTCATTTTCAGAAGAATAAAGTCAAAACTCCATGAGGACCTTCAAAAAATAACATATTCTGGATTTAATTACAGATAAAAGAAATCTTACTTCTACTAAGAGGAGAAATTGCATATTTAAAATGGAAATTATCCCAGAGCATGGGAACAGCACTGTCTTCTGCATTACTTTAGAATAAGAAATTATGTGGCCATTCAGTTCTTAGAGAAAGTGTCTTTGAAACGGAAAAGGTGAATGGGCAGGATTGCATGCAGTAGAGTTTCGTTCAGGGAAAGGTCCTGCTCTGGCTCTTTCACCTCATGCAGGGAAGGGCTTTCCTCCCATGCCTCAGTTTACCTATGCCCCTCTGATATGAAGTCACATGTTTCCACTTGTTTCCTCTAGAAATCACATAGTAATGCAGCTTTGTTTCTCTAGCAAGGAATCGCTGTGAGCTTGGGGGTCTTGAGGCTTGGCGGCATCACACAACAGTAAGACTCCATCAGCAAAAGGGTGGGTCCCCTCTGTCTCCCTGTGTGTTCCCAGCCACCAGCTGGGGATGGCACCTTCCATGAGGTAGATGAGTCCCCTCCATCCAAGGTCTTCTGTACAAACAGCCACCCTTCTGACTCCAAGATGAAATGAGACTCTAAATATGGGCCCTACCCCATGGGCTGCCAGGCTCACGGACAGGGCAACGGGCACACTGAGCTGCAGGGCAGCTGCACCAGGCTCTCTCTGGAGGTTATGCCACAGAACATGTTGTGGGTTGTGCTGCCTCCTTTCAAAGCCTTCAGCCGTCTCCCAGCTCCTCCGTATGGAAGGGCTCTGAGTGCTCAGAGGAACACAGACTTTAAAGCTCACACGACAGTTACAAAACTCCACAGAGAAATTCCAAAACCCAGTGCTGTGGAGACCCCAAAAGCAGTCTGCCCTATAGGAGAACGGTAACGCCAAGACCAGCATCAGAAAACACCTCAAACAGTTGCAGTGACTCTCACCTGGTTACGTCCCTTGCCAATATCCATCCTTACCCAGATTTTACCCTTTATGGGAAAATTAATGATGTCAAGCAGATGGCAAGTCTGACCTCAGGACGTGACACAAAGGGCTGGTCCTCGTGACGTGAGCACATCCCTGGGACACATGGGGGTGCTGAGGGCTCTGCAGCGAGAGACCCTGAAGTCACATCCCTCGGGGACCCCAGGCCTGACAAGCAGGAAATAAAGACAAAATCTTAAGCAGATTTTCAATCACCTTCCTTCATTATCGGCAAATCCTGAAAAATCAGAGTAGGGAACAGTTACAGTTATAGGTTGAAAGCTTAGAGTTGGGGAGAAAACAGGCGATCTCTCCCTATTTTCCTGAAACTTCTCCTCTTCCACCCAGCAGCTCAGCAGTCTGCCGCTGTAGTTACTGCTCATGGTGCCGGCGTCACAGGAGGGCTGAGTATGTGAGAGGGGTGGAGGCAAAGGCAGAACTGGGATGAAATTCTTGTTTCCCCGTATGTGATAATGCTGGTGCAATGCTTTTCAGGGAAGCCTCCCCCTGCACCCAGGGTGTCTCCTGATGCAGAAGTGCCATTTCCAACGCCCTGCAGTCCTCTACCTTCCCTGCCGCCACTCAGCCAGCAGGCATCTCCTGGGTGTCTGCTGTGGAGGAGCTCCCAGCGGGCAGGGGGCCGGGGTTTGTCTTCAGGAGCTCTGGGGCTGCAGCTGTGAGTGGTGCCTGGCTCCAGTGCCATTGAGGTTCCTGGGGGCTGCTCCTAATGGCTGTGGGCCTCACCTCCAGGGCATGCTCTGAACCTCTGGGTGGGGCCCAAGAGTCTGCATTTTTAACAACTTCCAGCTGCTGCTCAGGGCCTCTCTTGCAGAAGCACTGCCCTACAACCTTGAGGAATGCTGTATGTAATAGGCTGGAGAGCGAACGTGTGAGGCTTTGTGGGCCGGGCAGTCTCCACCATGACCCCTCAGCTCTGCCCATGGGGAAAGCAGCCAGGGACGAGGTGTGAAGGAGTGAGTGTGTGCGGTTCCCACCAGCACCTCCTTCCCAGTGCAGCATCCCAGGTCTGGTGGGGACATGGTGTGCTTAGAATCTGATGTGGCGGCAGCACTGGGGATGCAGGCTGGGGTCTGAGGACAGCCACCGAGACTACTCCTGTGGGGAGGCATGGACCTTGCAGCTGGGAGATAGCAGGAATGGGTATGTGTTGTGAACTGAACGCGAGCCCGGGAATCTCGTCCAGCGAGAGGGTCCCAAACCTGGAAGAGAGAGTGCGCCGGAAAAAAGGAGATAGAAAACGCGAGGTCTGGAGGGCTACATGCGCTATGCTCATGCAGCAATTTTATTTCTGCAATGTGTTTCATTATATACTTTTCTGAAGTTAAAGTTGTTTACACCAGATTAACGTACTTAAGTTACAGTAAGCAAGTTACCCCCAGTAAGTAAGTTAAGCACAGTAAGTAAGTTAAGCACAGTAAGTAGGTTACTTCCAGTAAGTAGGTTACGCCCAACAGGTCAAGGTAAGTAGATTACAGTCACGCCCTGTAAGCCATGGTAAGTAAGTTACAGTTACGCCCTGTAAGTTACGGTAAGTAAGTAACACAGGTCCAAAATGAACACAATCAAGAAATAAACCATAACAAGCCGAAAGTAGACACAATGCCTCCCAAGTCCTCATATCCATAAAGTAATGTCTGTTAATTATTTAGAATAACATAGTCCCTCTCTTGGTTCCTGCTTTCCCTCAGCTCGACTCCCCCAACTGGGGATCTGTGTCTGGGCTCAAGCTCACCGTATGGCGAGGCCCATTTCCTAGGGGCCTCACACAGGAGCGATCCCCACAGGTCTCCCTTAGGTATGGGGAAAGGAGGGAGGAAGGCAGGCACCCTGGGCTGGAGGAGAGCTGGGGGCCAGGGTGGACGCCCAGGCTGTCCAGTCCCTGGGGGAGAGTGGCCCGTGCCAGAGCCTGTGACTGAGCAGGGCAGGCTGGAGTGTGGGGACTCCATCCCTCACTGTCCCCATCACTCCTTCAACATGAAGGAGAAAGCCACGACATAATATCAGTGACTGTGCCATGAGGCCCACTGGGCGCTGAGCTCACTCTCCCCATGGGGTGCTCATGCTCATGGCAGCCAAGGTACGGTGCAAAGCACAGGAGGCCCAGGCCCAGCACCTCTGCCACCCCTCCCATGCCAGGGCAGCTCCCACGCCAGGACAGCTCCCATGCCAGGGCAGCTCCCATGCCAGGGCAGCTCCCACGCCAGGACACATTCCACGCCAGGACAGCTCCCACGCCAGGACACCTTCCACACCAGGACAGCTCCTACGCCAGGGAAGCTCCCACGCCAGGACACCTCCCACGCCAGGACAGCTCCCACGCCAGGACACCTCCCACGCCAGGACAGCTCCCATGCCAGGACAGCTCCCACGCCAGGACAGCTCCCACACCAGGGCAGCTCTCCCACCAGGACAGCTCCCACGCCAGGGCAGCTCTCCCACCAGGACACCTCCCACGCCAGGACAGCTCCCACGCCAGGACAGCTCCCACCCCAGGGCAGCTCTCCCACCAGGACAGCTCCCACGCCAGGACAGCTCCCACACCAGGACAGCTCCCACGCCAGAGCAGCTCTCCCACCAGGACACCTCCCACGCCAGGACAGCTCCCACGCCAGGACACCTCCCACGCCAGGACAGCTCCCACGCCAGGACAGCTCCCACGCCAGGGCAGCTCCCATGCCAGGACAGCTCCCACGCCAGGACGACCAGAACAGCAGCAATGTCTGTGGGGAAGCACAGGCTGGCGCTGGCACGGCTTCATTTTAAAAATGCATCGTCAAACCCCACAAACCACTGGAACGAGGTGCCTATTTGACATGAGCGCTCGGCCCAAATCATCGCTGTGAAACTGAGATATCTACACCAGCTACGTTCTCACTAGAAAGGCAGACGTCATTAGGCCAGAGGCAGCTGAAGCTCCTGCCAGCAGCATTAGTTGGGGGATGCCATTTGGTCAGTCAAAGGTTGTGAAGCTGATGGGACTTTCTATTTGTACCACTTTATACCACGTGAGGAAACTGTGTAATGACTTTTGCGACGACTTCTCCTTCTTAACTTGCTTTCTCGTGGTTGGCAAGTGTAATAAGACAAGGTGTTGATAGAGTGCAAACTGTCTTTAAATTTGAAAGGTAAAATTGTACATGCACCTTTAATCAGTGCTAAAACATCAACACAGATTCAAACCTCCCTTCCCAGGCTGCCTGCCAGAGGATGTGGTAACCCAGCCGCCGACCCTGCCTTCACGTGCTCTCCGTAAGCCGTGGGCTTTGCGTGATATGAATCATCGTATCTGATTAGTGAGGCGGCCTTGTCTTGACTCGGGAGACAGGCCAGTGAGGAGTGGCAGTACTGCAAGGCGGTGTCTTAGGGCCTGATGTTGTGATCTTACCAGCTCAAGATCCTCCCCACTCTTTTATTTAAAAAACTGTTTAGAGATGGGGTCTCACTCCATCACCCAAGCTGGAGTGCAGAAGCATGGTCACAGGCGACTGCAGCCTGGAACTCCTGGGCTCAAGAGATCCCCCCACCTCAGCCTGCTGTGTGGGACTACAGGTGCACCTCCACACCTGGCTAAGGTTTTTAATTTTTCTGTGGAGATGGGGTCTCACTATGTTGCCCAGCCTGGTCTCAAACTCCTGGACTTAAGCGACCCTCCTGCCCCAGCCTCCCAAAGAGCTGGGATGACAGGCATGAGCCATGCCCATCGCCTCTGTTCTTTACCCGCGATGGCTGCTATGCTTCTAACCCCATGAAACCCTCCTGTCCGCTCAAAGCCAAGTAAAGAACACCACTGAGAAGAGATTTCTGCATGAGGGTTTGGCACAGCAGCTTTCTGACTCCAGGCATTCCTGGGCCGTACAAAGCCAACGGAGATCCTGTGTGAGCAAGAGCGGCCAGCAACTTACTGACCACTCAGACTTTAAATGCTGCTCTCACATCCAAATATTCCCACTTCATGTGATCCGGACACAGCCTCGTGGAGTTAACTATTGTCCCCTTCTGACAGAGAAGGCATCCTGAGCTTTGAGAAGTTAATCAGTCGTCCAAAGTTACAAAACAAGCACGTAGCCAAGAGGGTGCTGTGAAGCCCAGTTCTGAACTCCAAGCTCCAGTTCTCCTCATTTCCCTTTTGCCAACCTCAGCTACCATGAAATAGCATGGAACACCTAGGCGGGGCTGGAGATGCTGGCACCTGACCTAGATCAGTGCCTAATGGATGGAGACCTGCATTATGGCCAACACAGTAAATACTGCAAAGCAGGGACTAGCCGAGAGTCAGCTGCTCCCATAGCCCCCAGCTTCACTAGGTAAGCAGCCAACTGCTGTGGAGGTGATGGAGGTGCTCACGGTGGGATTTAACTGCTGTGGAGGTGATGGAGGTGCTCACGGTGGGATTTAGCTGCTGTGGAGGTGATGGAGGTGCTAACGGCGGATTTAACTGCTGTGGAAGTGACGGAGGTGCTCACGGTGGGATTTAACTGCTGTGGAGGTGATGGAGGTGCTCACGGTGGGATTTAACTGCTGTGGAGGTGACAGAGGTGCTCACGGTGGAATTTAACTGCTGTGGAGGTGATGGAGGTGCTCACGGTGGCATTTCAATGCTGTGGAGGTGATGGAGGTGCTCACGGTGGGATTTAACTGCTGTGGAGGTGATGGAGGTGCTCACGGTGGGATTTAACTGCTGTGGAGGTGACAGAGGTGCTCACGGTGGAATTTAACTGCTGTGGAGGTGATGGAGGTGCTCACGGTGGAATTTAACTGCTATGGAGGTGATGGAGGTGCTCACGGTGGCATTTCAATGCTGTGGAGGTGATGGAGGTGCTCAGGGTGGAATTTAACTGCTGTGGAGGTGATGGAGGTGCTCACGGTGGGATTTAACTGCTGTCGAGGTGATGGAGGTGCTCACGGTGGGATTTAACTGCTATGGAGGTGATGAAGGTGCTCACGGTGGCATTTCAATGCTGTGGAGGTGATGGAGGTGCTCAGGGTGGGATTTAACTGCTGTGGAGGTGACGGAGGTGCTCACGGTGGGATTTAACTGCTGTGGAGGTGACAGAGGTGCTCACAGTGGGATTTCAATGCTGTGGAGGTGACAGAGGTGCTCACGGTGGGATTTCAATGCTGTGGAGGTGACAGAGGTGCTCACAGTGGGATTTCAATGCTGTGGAGGTGACGGAGGTGCTCACGGTGGGATTTAACTGCTGTGGAGGTGATGGAGGTGCTCACGGTGGGATTTAACTGCTGTGGAGGTGATGGAGGTGCTCACGGTGGGATTTAACTGCTATGGAGGTGATGAAGGTGCTCACGGTGGGATTTAACTGCTGTGGAGGTGATGGAGGTGCTCACGGTGGGATTTAACTGCTGTGGAGGTGATGGAGGTGCTCACGGTGGGATTTAACTGCTATGGAGGTGATGGAGGTGCTCACGGTGGCATTTCAATGCTGTGGAGGTGATGGAGGTGCTCAGGGTGGGATTTAACTGCTGTGGAGGTGACGGAGGTGCTCACGGTGGGATTTCAATGCTGTGGAGGTGATGGAGGTGCTCACGGTGGGATTTCAATGCTGTGGAGGTGATGGAGGTGCTCACGGTGGGATTTAACTGCTGTGGAGGTGACGGAGGTGCTCACGGTGGGATTTAACTGCTGTGGAGGTGACAGAGGTGCTCACGGTGGGATTTCAATGCTGTGGAGGTGACGGAGGTGCTCACAGTGGGATTTCAATGCTGTGGAGGTGACAGAGGTGCTCACGGTGGGATTTCAATGCTGTGGAGGTGACAGAGGTGCTCACAGTGGGATTTCAATGCTGTGGAGGTGACGGAGGTGCTCAGGGTGGAATTTAACTCCTGTGGAGGTGATGCAGGAGCTTACTGTGGGATTTAACTGCCATTCAGTTGCACCCTTCTGGTTCTGCTGACCAGCATGCATTTAACCTACTCATCATCACCCAAGGACTGCTGTCCAATAATGCAAATACCTAGAATGCCATCCTGGGTGATAAGTCGGAGCCTGCTGGTGTGCAGTGCCCTCCTTGTTAAGAAAGATGGCAGGGCCAGTGGACTCGGAGGCCAGCCTTCCATGTGAATCAGCAGGTAAACTTTCAGGAATGGGCCCTCAGAGCTTTGGCGTTCCCACACTTGAAAGAAAAGTGCAGAGAGTGAGATGCAAGGCCTGAGAGCCCAGCGGTGGTCTTACCAACCAGGTAAGACCTGCCTGTGACAAACGTCCCACAGATGAGTTTCTGAGTGACTCTTTCCCAAGTGCTGAAAATGCTCGTGCTGGTCCCAAATGCTCAGGGACCCACCCCACCCATCCCAGGCAACTCTTGGTCCTCAGCCTTCACTGACCCTCCTCTGCCTTCCAACTGAGAGCCGCCTCTCCCACGTCCCTGGGCTCACCAAGCTAACGCTGTGCTAGTCTGATGACCTGTGTACTCTCAGGGGCCATCACCTGCCAACGAGGGGTTCCTGCCACGCACTGCAGCTGTTGTCTAGCCCTGTATAGTCCCCAAAGCACAGGGAGACAGTCAGGAGAGAGTTTCCAATGCCAACGGGCTGCTGCAAAATAATTTTTCAAATAATTGAGCCTTTCAGAGTCTCTCAAGTCCTAACATTTGGACAATTCATGCCTCAAGACCTGAGCTTGGCCAAGGGGCCCATCCACATGGCAGAGCAGGCAAAACCTCGTGTTCTGCCTGAGATGGGCCAGACTTGTGACCGATGCAGCTGCAGGGCAGGACTCCTGGGCCGACCTCCAGGGACCCAGGGCAGTGGCTGGGCCACCGAAGGGGTGGGAGCTGCTGCAGGAGGCGGGTGCCCAGCCGCCGTCATGCTCTGCACCATCTCCACGCTAGTGCTCTGCACCATCTCCGCGCTCGCGCTCAGTGCCGTCTGCTCCTCTGCCCCTCCTGCTTCCCTCGAATTGCCATGGGAACCAGTATTGGTGGAAGAACTCCCAGGAAGTGGCTTCTGGCAGACACTGGCCTCCCCTCAGCTCAGAGACAGCCTGTGAGCCGCGGCTGCAGGAGGAGGGAGCATGGTGGACCAGTGTGCTGGCTGAAAGTCCGTCTCCAGGGACCCGGGGAGGCTGTGGGCCCACGAGTTGGCTTCAGGGCTGCACTGGCCTCTCCCTGCAGGCCCCAAGTGCACCTTCCTCAGGCACCCCTTGTGTTCCTCCTTCAGGTCTCAAAGCAACACCAAGCCAAGCCCCCCTCAGCACACAGCCCTGATTCAAAATGAGCCACTTTCTACTCAGGCATAAAGGCACTACTTTTTCTATGCAGATAGGAGGGAGGAAGTGGAAACAGCATTTGTGTATGGACAAAGAGCAAAAGCAAAGGGTGTGAAAACAGGCACAGTGGCCTGGCATCTTGGAAGGACCAGGGCTTCAATGCTCAGCAAACAGTTGCCAAGCGGATAGCAGGCTCCTCCAGCAAAGCCGGGGGCCTCGTCCCCAGGCCCTCAGCCCAGCGGCAGCTCGGCCGGCAGACGCGGCTTCCCTGGGACTCCCCCCAGCACAGCTCCCCTCCAGTGGGCTGGCACAGCCACCATGGGAGCGCACACATGCCCTGACCACGCCGCCAGCCATCCTGCTGTCCTCCCGTCAGTCTCTAACTCTAAGGAACCCAGGGCAGTGAAGACAGAAACCCATGTGCGGGGAAGAGAAATGCTCAGGAAACTCAGCAACACCCACAGTTGAGCAGACCCCCAAACAGCCAGCAGCACCCCACTCCTGACATTGAGGGTGCAGGGCCTCCTGCTGGATTTCACTCCCTGGCAGCTGAAGGTTCTGCCAGACCCATTCCACCTGGGAACATCTGGCCACACTGTGCTCTGGGCAGGATGGAGTGTCTCCGAGGTCACAGAGCTCTGCAGGGCTCAGCCACACTGTAGCGAAGGCCATGTGGGCCCAGCGGCTCCCTCAGCATGAGGGCGAGCTCGCCCAGCAGAACCAGCTCAGAGCCACTGGTAAGAGGCTTCTGCCTCTCCCAATGCTTTTTTTTTTAGTCTCACCCACGCCACCCACCTCACACCATCTCATCCCCATTGGTGCCCCCTGCCCACCCACACCACCCACCTCACACCATCCTCATCCCCATCGGTGCCCCCTCCTCACCCACACCACCCACCTCACACCATCCTCATCCCCATCAGTGCCCCCTCCTCACCCACGCCGCCCACCTCACACCATCCTCATCCCCATCGGTGCCCCCTCCTCACCCACGCCGCCCACCTCACACCATCCTCATCCCCATCGGTGCCCCCTCCTCACCCACGCCGCCCACCTCACACCATCCTCATCCCCATCGGTGCCCCCTCCTCACCCACGCCGCCCACCTCACACCATCCTCATCCCCATCGGTGCCCCCTCCTCACCCACGCCGCCCACCTCACACCATCCTCATCCCCATCGGTGCCCCCTCCTCACTCACGCCTCCCACCTCACACCATCCTCATCCCCATTGGTGTCCCCTCCTCACCCACGCCGCCCACCTCACACCATCCTCACCCCATCAGTGCCCACTCCTCACCCACGCCACCCACTCACTGACATCACCATGTCTGTCCTCGCTCGTGGCCCTGTCTTCATCTGCATCGTCCCTCGCTTGCTCACCTGTGCCACCCACATCCAGGCCAGCACGTGGCTCCCCCAGGTGCCCGAGTGTCTTCTAAGCCCCTTCCGAGCACCTTTGCCATTCCCACCCCAGGTTTCTCAGGCTGAAGCAAAGGAGCTTTTAAAAGTGCAACCAGACTCCCCTGCCCTCCTACAGGACTTTGCAGTGATGTCCCGTTTGATAACACTAAAAATCCCTGCCATTTGCCTTTGAGAAAGTCCCTCCAGGAAGCCCCCTCTGCCTTTCCAGACTAAGTCCGGGCCCTGTTGTTTGGGCACTGCTCCATGTCCCTCAGGTGGCACAGAGTCCTCATCCCCCAGAGGAAAAAGCCAGCATTTTTCTGAAGCACAGCCGTGGCCCTGGCACAAAGCAGGCACTTGGGGGGGGGCATTTATGGGAAGGAGGGGTAAGGAGGAGGAGCTCAGGGAGCTGAAGACGGCTGAAAGGGAGGAAAGGAGATGGTCTGCAGGTGGGAGGCGAGCACGCCCTCTCTACAACCAGCAGTGACCTCCAGCGAGGTTGGCAGGGTCCTCACTGCCCACTCCCAAATTTGAAACATAAGTGGGGCCTCTCCCTGCCCCACAGATTTGCACATCCCACTACCAGTACCTGAACATCTAAGAGGAAGTGAAACTGATCCCACAAACCCCTGAGCACCCCCAAATGTGCTTCCCCATCTCCCCACCTCACTAACAGCAACTCCAGCCTTCCAGTTGCTGGGCATCCTTGACCTCTGTCTCCCTCATCCACATCCACCCTCTGCAAAGGGTGTCAGCTAAATCTTAGCCATATCCAGAATCTAAGCACCCCACCCTGTCACCACCCCAGGCCATGGCTATCACCCATCCCAGGCCATGGCTGTCACCCATCTGAGGCCAAGGCCGTCAGCAATCCCAGGCCATGGCTGTCACCCATCCCAGGCCGAGGCTGTCAGCAATCCCAGGCCATGGCTGTCACCCATCTGAGGCCGAGGCCGTCAGCAATCCCAGGCCATGGCTGTCACCCATCCCAGGCCAAGGCCGTCAGCAATCCCAGGCCATGGCTGTCACCCATCTGAGGCCGAGGCCGTCAGCAATCCCAGGCCATGGCTGTCACCCATCCCAGGCCAAGGCCGTCAGCAATCCCAGGCCATGGCTGTCACCCATCTGAGGCCGAGGCCGTCAGCAATCCCAGGCCATGGCTGTCACCCATCCCAGGCCAAGGCCGTCAGCAATCCCAGGCCATGGCTGTCACCCCATCTGAGGCCAAGGCCGTCAGCAATCCCAGGCCATGGCTGTCACCCATCTGAGGCCAAGGCCGTCAGCAATCCCAGGCCATGGCTGTCACCCATCCCAGGCCATGGCTGTCACCCAACCCAGGCCAAGGCTTTCAGCAATCCCAGGCCATTCCCCACTAGGTCGGTTGAAGCACCCCTCCCAGACCCCACTCTTGCTTCTCTCCCTCACAGCCCAGCTGCGGTGACGTGCTCTCGAGGCAGCTGGCAGACTGACCCTCCCACATATCTCTGGTCACGGCACTGCAGGCCAGAGTCCTCCTTAGGTTGGTTTCCCCAGAAGCCAGCCTGAGATAAAGACTTGAGGGCAGAGCTTACATGGGGGGATGTAGCAGGAAGACAAGGGGAAGCAGGAAGTGAAGGGCATTGAGCGGTGATGCTGTAGGAGCAGCATGGGCCACACAGCAGCTCAGGGAGATGAGCAGAGCATCCTCAGAGTCACCCAAGGGTTGGGGGCTTGGGTGCTCCTCCAGCTCCCATCTGTCCCCTACTGTGGCAGCTCCCTGGGCACTAACCCTGCTCACTTCCAGCCTCGGGTGAGAAATCCCGGTGCCCCAGCCTCCACGCCCTGCTGCCCCGATGTGCTGGGCACCCACATCAGAGACTTCCTCTGCTAGGAGTCTGGGCGATCCGTGGAGAGGAGGTGGGAGCCCCTCGGCAGCATCCTGGTGTCAGAGGGTGCAGGGAGGTGGCGTGATTCAGTGTCTCTAACAGGTCCTCTGGCCATGGAAGTCCCTGCACATTTTGTGGAAGTCTACAGAGGATCCTGTGTGCACTCAAAACTCTCACGTGTGTGTTTCAGAAGTGGGTTTTACAAGTTTTGGCACAGAACATTCTTAGCTGCATTTCTATGGATGTTTGTCTAGGCTGCCCCCAAACCCCAGGCAAGCAGGGGTGACTGCCTGTGGCAGTCAGCCCCACACAGTGGATGTGCTGACGTGGCTCCTAAGCACCATCTGTGGCCGTCAGCCCCACACAGTGGATGTGCTGACGTGGCTCCCGAGCACCACCTGTGGCCATCAGCCCCACATAGTGGACGTGCTGACGTGGCTCCTGAGCACCACCTGTGGCCATCAGCCCCACACAGTGGACGTGCTGACGTGGCTCCCGAGCACCACCTGTGGCAGTCAGCCCCACACAGTGGACGTGCTGACGTGGCTCCCGAGCACCACCTGTGGCCGTCAGCCCCACACAGTGGACATGCTGACGTGGCTCCCAAGCACCACCTGTGGCTGTCAGCCCCACACAGTGGACGTGCTGACGTGGCTCCTGAGATGGAGAGAAAGCTGAAGGCCCCAGGGGCCCTTCTCCCCGCTCAGGGTGTGACTTCCAAATAAATGTGTGAGATTAAATGGAACCTTTTCTCCCTGGCAATGAGTTGGAGGGAGGCCAGGTGCCACCCTCAGCCAGCAGGATCAGCACCACTGGCTCACTGCAGGTGAGAATGAGCTGCTTCCATAAACCCCCTCTGCATAAAAATGGAAGCAGAAAAGTGACAGTTGGGTTTGACAGTTTCCCAGCACTTAGTTTAACAGCCTTCCCGAGAGTCCCCAAACGCTGCTCCAGGAGTTCCACGCGGGCAGCCCTAGAAATGATGGCAAAGCAATTACTTTCTACCATGGCGTGGTGTGTGCTCAGGATAAAGCCAGGATGAAGGTGGCTTTCGGGACTGGTAATTACAGAGCCATGGGTGACCTCTGTCCTCACAGCAGGTTAGATCAGCACAGGTCCTGGGTGCTGCCGGCCCTGAGCTGCACTCCTGCAAGGGCTTGTCAAAATGCCAGAAGTAATTACATGGCTGTTCAGAACAGAGTAATGGGGTACAGCTCCTACCATCTCCTATTCCCTAAAGCCTCCAGTTCACACACTGCAGCGCCCTCCAAACACGCAGCAGGTCCAGCAGGAGATGGGCCCTGTGCACTGAGCCCGTGGGCCAGCAGTACAGACCCCCAGACCTCCAGCCCAGCCTTCCCACGTGCACCCACCATTCCTTTGTATTTTCTCCCAGAGGCTCCTCTTTTTAGTTACTCCTCAACGCCTGTTTCTGTAATGTTCCGTGAGTCAGGAATGTTCCAAGAGCAGGAGGAGAGCATGGTGTGTCCCCTCAGCATCTCCTTGGCCTACCCTTGGCCACGCCTCAGCAGGGCGAGCTGTGGATCTTCCACCTAGCAGCTGCAGAGCAGCAGGATGAGCGTGAGCACTGTGCCAGCCACAGCAGAGGCCCCGGCACCCCCAGCACATGCTGATCCTGGGCAGCAGCTCAGCTCCACTGAGCATGTGACACAGCGGCCCGGAACCCCAGGCTGGGCTGCTGGGGCCACCCCTCCAGCCCCACTGCTCTGGTGCTGTTTCCTCGGCTGCGCCCTGGGGGTCGGGTGAAGGGGAGCACTGGGACCACATCCCCAGAAGACCCTCCTAGGAGAGTGAGGTTCCCTGAAGTCACCTTTGTCAGTTTGACAGGTGTCTCATTCACCTGCACGTGGGGAAAATCTTCTCAGCAAGTGGCTTTTTTGAGTATTTCCAAAGCATCCTCCTTCATTTCCAGTAAGAGTGCAACTTCCTTCCCACACTCATGGCTCAGGAGTTCCTCTTGTTCCAATGTCCTAATCATGAGTGTGGATGGGCCCCACCAGCATGCAACTCAACCCCGTGTGGCCTCCGTGGGGAGGGGGTGTGTGGGAGCGTGGATGGCTTTGGGCCCCCTGCTGGTGAGCAGCACGCAGCTCCACCCCAGGTGGCCTCCGTGGGGAGGGGGTGTGTGGGAGTGTGGATGGCTTTGGGCCCCCCTGCTGGTGACCAGCACGCAGCTCCATCCCACGTGGCCTCCGTGGGGAGGGGGTGTGTGGGAGCGTGGATGGCTTTGGTCCCCCTGCTGGTGACCAGCATGCAGCTCCACCCTGCATGGCCTCAGTGGGGAGGGGTGTGTGGGAGTTAGATGACAGATGTCTGCTGCTTGTGGACCAATGCTGAGGGAGGCACACCTCCCCTCCCCTGCAGCCAACCTTCCTGTGTCCACCTCAGCAGAGCTGATCTGATTTGACCAGCTGCAGCGAAATTCAGGCCCAAGTCCTTCTTAGCAGGTGCTGAACACAAAGTTCCCACACTATGAAGTCTGATTCTGAATTCCACCTCGCCAGCCTCTTCCTGGCATGTCCTTGGCACACTGGACTCCACACCCAGGCTGTACCGATTCACGTTCCTCTCTCCATTAGCCCCTGAGACCCACACTAGTCCCCGATGCTCTGCCCAAAGCCAGCTTCTCTGTGGAGCGTTGGGTAAGCCCTGCCCTGACCTCCCAGACGTGGTATCCACTGCCCCGGAGAGCTCCAGTCTGAACATCCCTGGCACCAGGCGGGGTCCGCCGACTTCCAGAGTGACACCGCCTTCGGGAGGTGCGATGCTTTGCCGGAGACAGACTGCACAGGGTGGGCCCAACAACAGAGGAGACCCTGCTCCGATGCTCAGCAGCTTCATGGAGACGCTCAGCAGGTGGGAGCGGGAGGATGTCACGGAAAAGTCATGGAGGCGCCGCTACTGAAATGACACAGGGCACCTCTCCAACAGGCTGAGAGAAACAATGGCAGTTGGACGCTGTGTCTTAAGAGGCTGTCATGTGGAGGACACTGAGGTCAAAGGGAGGGAAACTGCTCAGGACAGCAGCCCCCGTGAGCCTCACCCCACCACACGGGACTCAGGACAGCAGCCCCCGTGAGCCTCACCCCACCACACAGGACTCAGGACAGCAGCCCCCGTGAGCCTCACCCCACCACACAGGACTCAGGACAGCAGCCCCCGTGAGCCTCACCCCACCACACGGGACTCAGGACAGCAGCCCCCGTGAGCCTCACCCCACCACACGGGACTCAGGACAGCAGCCCCCGTGAGCCTCACCCCACCACACGGGACTCGGGACAGGAGACCCCGTGAGCCTCACCCCACCACATGGGACTCAGGACAGAAGCCCCTGTGAGCCTCACCCCACCACATGGGGTCAACACAGGAGCCCCCCATGAGCCACGCCCCCACCACGCAGGGCTGAGGGTGGGAAACGCACCCTCTGTGGTGCCCGAGAGGGAACATCTGAAGAAACAGCCTGAACTTGGCCGAGCATGCAAGAGGATTCCCAGCAATAAAGCGATAACCCACAGGCAGCCCCACGGGTCACCAGGTGGGGATCTTTGCAGAGTGGGAGCTGGCAAAAGCAAACACTGTTTCTAAAGAATGACTCCTTACCTTTTCTTTGAAAGGAGCAATACAAAGATTAATCAGAAGTATAGTATTTAAGAAGAAACTACCAAGGAAATACAGAGCAGAAAGGGTTTTCTATTCTGCCAGTTTGACTGGGCGGCTGAGCCGTGGGATTCAGCGTGGCTCCCAGTCACTTCCGTGGACTCTGTGGTACAGTAAGTGCCTCCTTCAGCAAAACCCACTTATTTTTAATATTCACTAATACCCTGTACTCGTTCCCAAGGTCCATAAATTAGCAGAATTACCAGAAAAGCATTGCCTAGGATAAAGCAGACTCTGAGTAATGAAAAGGGTTGCTCTTCTCATCAAATCCATGACGCCTGATGGGGACTAATGTGGGATTAATGACACGCCGATTCATTTGGTTTTGTATCATTCTGTATAAAATTAGCAAAATGCATGCTCGAGTTCTCCTGCCAGGGTGATGTCTGCTGCATTAATAACAGCAGGAGATGTCAGCAGCTCAGGTCCTGAGGCCGTGGGGGAACCAGGCGCAGGCAGCTGCTGGGCTCCAGGCTGCCGGCAGGTGCACGCAGCCGCCAGCACCTCCAGCAGTTCCGACTGCGGATCTGGGTTCTGCGTGCTGGTGACAAGCAGGCAACACGACTTTTTCCTCCAAGTGTGTCTGCCGTCACCGGAGGGCATTTGTGATGATACTATCAGGATTCCACATCATCTTTTCTAACGAAACCACAAGAATCTCCTTTCCAGGTTGGAACTCTTCCCTGCTCTCATGTCAGCCTGTCTATGTCTCATTTGAAACGCCCCTCGGTGAGAGGCCGCTCTTCACTGTGCCAAGCGCTCTCCCGAGGCCAGCACCACCACACAGGGGCATGTCTGCCACCTGACTCACGGTCACACATTCTTTTTCATAATCTTTCTTTTTCTTTTTTTGAGACAGGGTAGCCCTCTGTGGCCCAGGCTGGAGTTCAGTGGTGTAATCTTGGCTCACTGCAACCTCCGCCTCTTGGGTTCAAGCAATTCTCCCACCTCAGCCTTCTGAGTAGTTAAGATTACAGGTTCGTGCCACCACACCCAGCTACATTTTTTTTTTTTTTTGTATTTTTAGTAGAGATGGGGTTTCACCATATTGGTCAGGCTGCTCTCAAACTCCTGACCTCAAGTGATCAGCCCACCTCAGCCTCCCAACATGCTGGGATTAGAGGCATGAGCCACTGGCGTGAGCCACCGGGCCCGGCCAATCTTTTCCTCATACACCACAGAATCATGGCACGTTCATAACACCGGAATTATTCAAAATATTTAAAAAACTAATTCTTTAAAAATTATACTAGTGTAGACAATTTTGCACACATACAATAAGAAGAAACATTGTGACTCGCTCAGCCACGGGAGTTGCAACGGATGCAGTGGTGCGTGAGCAAGTGAGGGCATTTAGAAAGTTGTTGACATGAGACCCAAACCCACATTTCACGTGTGACTCCCCCTTGGGGCAGCACTTTGCTAAATAACCTGAACACACTTGAAATGACCGAGAAACTGGCTTTCAAATGATCAACCTCATTTTCCCTAGAAAGCCATAAAATAGATCAGAGGCCCCCGACTGTGAGTATGTCCTGATGATTTCTAAAAAGGTAACAAGATGGCCATTCCTAGCATCAGTGAGTCCAGTCAACCTGATTCCAGTGGCACCGCTCCCCCGCAGTGGAGAAACGGCCAGCCCTGCAGCGACTGTCAGTGCATTTCTGCATCAAAGCTGACCACCGATTTGGTCTTAAATATGCTCAGTAATCAGGCCTGATGGGGAGCTGGTGCACAAGAAACAGGCTGTGGGGGGAAGGAGGTGCTGAAGCCGTGGCTGGGACCCCCACTCCTTCCTGCGTGCAGCGTTTGGTGTGGAAGCCGCTGCCTTCTTGCACTGGACCGCACGGCTGGAGGGAGGACAGTGGGCTGCTTTACCAAGTTGCACCCCAGCATCACGGGCCTCACAACAATGTATGGCAGTGAAATGAAGACCGCGGATTCAAATCTCCACAAAGCTTAAATCAGACTGCAGGAGTTTAGCACAACATTGCAAAGAATTGTATTTTGACCACAAATCCTCAACCCCTAAATCACCAGCTTGAGCAAAGGAGTCACTGACGGCACGAGGACAGCCCATAAGTGAAACCGACAGCGACCAAACCAGACAGGGCAGAGATTCATTCCACCCACGGACAAGGCGGCTGCCTCACGCCTTGATCGCTCCCACTAGAAAAAGAAACTTCAAGCTTACAGGTGCCAGAACACTGACGCTTCAATCAGTGAGAACTAAACACTGAAATCCCGAAATGAACCAGAGTATCTTGCTGCATTTTACACCAGGAAAAAAAGACACACATTTAAGCAGAAAATAGTTCACAGACTCAGCAACATAAAGGATTCACTAAAACCAAGAGTCACGTGCTGCCGCGGCTGGGTCAGTCACTCCCGCGCCTCCCACCTTGTCAGTGATTACAGAAGCCAGCGCCCTGCCTGTGGAGCGGGCCTGACCCCCTGAAAACCATCGGGCTGAAGTTCTGTTATGCCTCCTGGACTTTTTGTACTAGGCAGGAAGATTAAACAACTTGCTTGATAAGAGTTTCAACAAGCTGAAAAAAAGAAATGTGAGGTTGAGGAAAATGCAAACGTCAGGTCCACCCATTCTGCTCCTCAAGCCTCTGGTGAGCGAAGCTGTGTCTTTTTCACTCAGTGACCATTTTAATCACGTAACAAAGATCACGCAAGCTCTGTCGGTAAGTACATCTCAAAAGTGTGTGATTCACAGCACCCAGAACCCTGGGCTGTAAATGGGGAGACCGTCTGGAAGTCAGCCGGTTTTGATGGAAACCTCCCAGATCCCACGCGGCGTCTCTGCCCACCACATGGGAGCAGGGCCGGATTGTGCTCCTGGTCTGGTACAAAATGAAAAACCTCAAAGCAAAATTGCAGGTGCTCTGCGCACAGTGGGGTGACTACAAACAGTAAATCTTGCTTTTCCAAAAGCCGGGCTTGTTCCCGGTCCACCCAGCCCGTGTCTCCTGCCTTCGGTCTGAGCCAGTTCCATGCACCGAGGCGGTCCAGCCCCCCTCCAAACAGTGATGTCCCAGACGGTGCCGCAGACTGCCAACTGTCCCTCCCCTGCAGGACACGCCAGCTTTCCACGGAAACTGTTAGCTTCCTTTCTGGTTGCTCCACACGTGTCCTGTCAGGCCCTCTCTGCCCTGGCTGTGCGCGTGCATGTGTGTGTGTGCACGCTGCGTGTGTGCACATGTGTGCATGGAAGGAGCCTCACCTGTGGCCTTCTGCACATCCGCAGTGGTCACGTTCTGGACATTGGCGCTCACTTTGAAAGTCACTGCTGGTCCAAGAACCCTGGAAGAGATGATTTGAAATAAGTTCGTAACAGAGTCCACGTGCCACACTGCTTTTCTGAAAACAATGTGGAAAATACTGGTACGTTTTTAAAAGCACAAACATCTGGGGCCACTGCGGCTCCAGGCGTGAACTCCACAGGACGGCTGTTTTCATTCACGCCGTGATCTTTTGTTTCCATTTTCCAGTAATTCCGTTACCAAAACACACTTCACAGTGTAATATATATCCTAAAAAAATCAAACCAACCTCCAGACCCAACAATAGCCAGCAGATATTCTTGCCAGAAGAAAAGGAAGTTGCTATTGAAATAGATTTTAGTCTTTGTCCCCAAGGGAGATGTATGAATCAAGAGCGGACAGGAGAGAGTCTCATATTTTAAAAATTATTTTGACAGGAAACATTTTAAAAACTACCAAAGTCATTAGGAAGTACTCTGTATAAAAACAACTGGCAGGGGATTCCTAGGCAGGAGTTATCTAAATTGTTTGAAGCTTTTTAAATGCTATGTCAACCACAATTTTGAAAAAATACATTCATTTTTTAACCACCTAATTCATCTGGAAACCCCGCATGCAGTAGGAACTGGATATCGTGCCCAGCTATCTCAAAACGAATTAGCAATGCAAGGACCGTTCCCAAAGGCAGATAGACCCCATGTCCACAGAGGACAGCCATGGATAGCTCTTCCTGGAATTACCCCTTCAATGTCTTCTAAGGGATAAATCCCAGGAACATACAAGAAATGCGAAGAGGACCCAATTTAGGTGGCAGATGGCAGCTAAGGCTGTTGGCTCCTGGTCCCTGGGAGGTGCCTACGCTCCCAGCTAAGCTGTTAAACTCTGCCCAAGTGGATACCATGTAGCCCAGGGCCCTTGCTGTCCCCACTGCAACCACGCACCCCTGCTGTTGGGTACAAGCCCAGCTGGCGGGAAATGCCACAGGTTGGCCACCTCCTCTCCCTCCTCCGTGCCCACCTCCTCCCCCTCCTCCATGCCCGCATCTCCCCTTCTCCTCCGCGCCCGCCTTCCCTCCCTCCTCCACCACAGGCTCATCCCAAGGCAGCACAGGACATGGGGCCATGGATTTTGCACCCAAAATCCTTTCAGTCTCACATGTGTTTGCCATTCAAATATCTCTGCTCATGATACTTTGGTCCCAAGCTCTGGTCTTCCTCCTGGTTCTCACTCTCCCGGCCTCTGCGTGCAAACCGCTGGTGAAGGGAGACCACTGTGCCATAGCAAGGCAGCACAGTCATCACCCTAACACAACGGCTGAATATTCCATGCAGAAGTCTTAGCATCTCCTTGAACTCAAAAAGGTCTCCCCCGAAACAGCAGCTGCTCTGAGGAGCAGACACATTCTAACCTTACAGATGTCCCCTTTGGCTTCCTTATGCCAGAAATATCCAGCTAGTCACCAAATTCTGAAGAAAGCCCTGGAAAACGCACCACGTCCACGGCTGTCTCTTGGTTCCCACTGTGATCCTTCCAGCCCAAGCCTGTGCTGCCTCACAGTGGAGCTGAGTGACTTCCTGTGACCAGCTCTCCTGCCCACAGAATGTCCCTGGGAGCTGCTTCCAGGGGCTGACCAAGGAGCAGGGACCGGTGCCTTCCTCTCCAGCCCAGGTTAGTCCCAGCCCCCAGCCCCTGGTCTGTCTGCAGTGCCTCGGCTGACCAAGAGCAGGGACAAGCGTGTCCTCCTCCAGCCCAGGTTAAAGTCCCAGACCTGGGCCCCCAGCCTGTCAGCAGTGCCTTGGCAGGGCCCTCTGTTGGTCCCCACTACAGGCCCTTGGATAGGAGGAGGCCACTCCCTTCCTGGACTGCAGCTCTCCTGCCAAGGACATCCCCTCATGAGTGCTGAGTTCTGCCGCCTGTCAAGGCCCTTCTCCCGAGTGAGCACCATGATAGTGGCAGATTCTGTCTGCAGAATCTTCCAGAAGTGCCCTAAGTGCCTGATATTTTGGCTCACATGGCACATGGGACACTTTACAGACGTTTCCCTCCTTCCCAAGTGGAGCATGAGCTCTTTGAGGCGTGTGTGATGACTCCTGCCAGGACCCCGCCCACGCAGGGGATGATCAATTCATATTGTAACTGGTTCAATGCTTGGGTTGAATGGTTTGCTAAAATTAAAAGAAAGTCCTCATTAACACAAACAGCACCCCTCTACCGCTGCAACAACACTGGGAACAGAGCATTCAGTCACAGGGCTTCAAACGTACACAAGCTTCTGTGAAGCTGCATCTAAACCACATCTGAAGAGTTCCCTGATGCACGGGACTGAACTTTCCTAAACCCAATGTTCTCTCAGGTGCAGAAAGTTTTCTCTAATGGCTACGAGCAGCTGCTTGGTTTCTCAGCATCCAAAGACCCAGCCCCTGTGCTATGAAGACACAAGTGATCCATGCACGGCCCCTTATTGCATGGTGAGGGCTGCAGGAGAGACCCACGCAGTGTGCATCCTTCGTCACCACAAGCTGAGTGCCACCGTCATGTGAGACCGTGGTCGTTGCCAGGGAGCGAGTGCCCCTGCCACCCTCGGGCACACCTCACACATGACAAGCACCGAATGACCCTTCCTGCCACCCTCGGGCACACCTCACACATGGCAAGCACCCAGTGACCCTTGCCACCAGCACCAGCGAGACCCAGATGCCCGTGGCCGAGATGCACGGAGCCCTGGCCCCAGCCCTTGTGCCCTCAGGATCCCACAGGAGGACGATACCTTGAGGCCCATTCTAGAGGACACTCAGCGCATCGGTAATGTGACCCCACGCACAAGCTCTTCCGTAAGCCTGCAGCGGCTGCTCTGACGTGGGGCGGAGTCTCCATCCCAGGCCCCGCTACAGCCCTCATTCCGTGAGTCGCTGTTCTGTGGCCCTGCTAGGCCTTTCAGCTGGGCCTCGTTCCACTCAGCTCTCAAGTTTGGCAAGGCCCCCGGGGCCTCTCGGACTTGCTCTGGTCTGGGAGACTGGTTTTCAATAAACTGTGGTACCCAAGCCCAGAGGGTCTACGAGGAAACAGGGCAACTGGTGGCTCCAGAGCTGAGCTCCCAGATCTACCTCTCCCCACAGGAAGACCTTGCCCTGTGCTTGTTACTAAGCCCCACACATGTGCTGTGCAGGAGGCAGGTGGCTGAGTGCTGTGCGTCCAGGCGAGAGGCTTCCAGGGAGGGAGGCCAGCCGTCCCACCACCTTCTTTCTAGCACCAGGGAGCCCTGGTTGTCTCTGCTATCCTGTTTAGCTTTCTGGCTCTTTAGACATTTGGGGAAAGCTGAACAAATCCCCTGTGCATATTGCTGGCATAAAAAGGGGAATTTCTGCATTTAATCAGGAAATAAAAAGTAAAACAGAGATGCCTAGAGCCTTGCAGAGTCTCTTAGGAGCAAGCAGAGCACCTAATATCACAGCTCTCGGGGGGAAAACAAGCTTTTCTTGAGCAAGGTGCCTCCTGACAGCTGGCATTTGTCACTCAGGGCGTGTCAGGCATCTGTGTTACAAATGTACCGCTCTACTATGGTTAGAGCAGCAGCAAAGAATGAAGATTAAGACTGGGTAGAAATGATCGACGCAGACTTAAAGAGCTGGACATGAAGTTACATGGAGGTGTCTGGTTTAACGAAGAAACAGATGCTAATTTCGACTTTCGGATTTTCATTCAGATACAACAAATAATTACGGAGGCCACACTACAGTCAGCTCTCATTCTTCTAGGGGGCCGCGCTCTGTAAGTCATCGGGAGCAGACACTGACCGAGCCAGTGTTCCCACGAGAAGCAGAGGGCGAGGCTCCTGTGAGCCTGTGGCCACCAAGTTTCTGTCAATTGATGGACATGTAACCTTGTCTTATGTGTGTTTCTATTCAAAGACTCATTTAATGTACGTGGCTGAGTTATTAATGCTGAACTCACAGCTGCCCACACGATGCCCATCCACAGTGAGTTTCCTCCATGAGGCGCATTGTCACCACGTGTCCCGGCCAGTGTTTTCTCCATGAGGTGTGTTGTCACCGCGTGTCCCGGCCGGTGTCTTCTCCATGAGGCACGTTGTCAAGAGTGTGTCCCGGCCGGTGTCTTCTTCAGGAGGTGCGTTGTCACCATGTATCCCGGCTGGTGTTTTCTCCATGAGGCATGTTGTCACCACGTGTCCCAGCCCAGTGTCTTCTCCATGAGGCATGATGTCCCCACGTGTCCGGCCAGTGTCTTCTCCATGAGGCGTGTTGTCACCACGTGTCTGGCTGGTGTCTTCTCCATGAGGCCTATTGTCCCCATGTGTCCCAGCCGGTGTCTTCTCCATGAGGCATGTTGTCACCACATGTCCCAGCCGGTGTCTTCTCCATGAGGCGTGTTGTCACCACGTGTCCCAGCCCGGTGTTTTCTCCATGAGGCACGTTGTCACCATGTATCCTGCATGTACCAGCCTCACATGCACTTAAAGTATTTCCTTCCCTTTCTTGCTTTGGCCTTGAAGCACACAGTGAAATTCCTTGTGGCTCCCTTTCCCACCAGGCACTCCTGTACACAGTGCTCACCCATCTAATTAGGGACCTGCTTAGAAATTCCAGTGGCCAATTTTCAAACAGAACGGACAGAGCAACCCAGCTGCAGAATCTTCCTGCTGAGGGGGAGTTAGGAACATTTAGCCCAGTGCTCCCGGGCTGAAGCTATGATGACACAAACCAGGCCTCCACCCATGAAGAGACACCCGTCAGAACAGACACACAGCCTGGCACCCTCCTGCACCACTTCTGCCCGTGGTAAGACAATCGTCAGAACACACAGCCTGGTGTCCTCCTGCACCACTTCTGCCCATGGTAAGACAATTGTCAGAACAGAAAAACAGCATGGCACCCTCCTGCACCACTTCTGCCTGCGGTAAGACAATCGTCAGAACACACAGCCTGGTGCCCTCCTGCACCACTTCTGCCCATGATGAGACAATCATCAGAACAGACACACAGCCTGGTGCCCTTCTGAACCACTTCTGCCTGTGGTAAGACA